GCCGTCTAGTGTATGGTCGTATTCTCAATCAGTGTTGCAAACGATCTCCCATTTAGCAGATTCTCCAAGGAACTTACAAAGCAATGTATATTACCAAAAAAAGTAAACCTGCTTCTTCATCTGACTTGTCGACTTTTCCTTATTCTGCTGCGCTCAGTGCTGATGCTTCAGATTTATTGAGGCAAGTTCAGGAAATCGTGGCAGTGAAAAAGCCGAAGGGACAATTTCTTCATTGGGACAATTTTTTGGTGAGTTCCAGTTTATTTCTTTGGATGTTGTTGAGGTCGAGAAGAAGGAGAGGTTTTTTGGTAATCTACGGTGTTCCTGAAGGCTGGGTAGTGAGCTTGCAGCCTCTCTCCGCCAAGAGCACACAGAAAAGGCCGTGATGAACATCCAGGATGAACTCGACATCGAGGCGCGGCCACTTCAGATCTATAGAATGGGAAAGGAAGACGATAGGCCGATCAAATGCGTATCGCTTCAAAAGATTCTTGTTCAGCACACTTCCTCGTTCGAGATAGTTACGTTCATCAACTAGTAATAAGGTTATCCGCCGTTTTCCAGACTCATGACTCTTTGATTCTTCGCTGATTGCTTTCTATTACTATAATGAAGTCTGACAGTGTGCAATCTTTTGAACATTTTTACGGACAACTTTTGTGCAGTTGCTATACTCACAGGGAGCATAGATGAGCAAAAAAGATTGCTTATGCCACGTGGGTGCAAGAGCTCAAAACGGAAGGCCTCTGTATCTGCTCCAAGAGTCAATGAAGACTGGGATGAGAGCATGTAACTGGTAACTCCAATCTAATTCTCTCTTGCGGATCACATTGGTTGATAATCTTGCGAACAACAAAGAAAATCTGTCATAAACAACATCAGTATCTTTATGCCTTCAAGAAGATCCAGCCAGTCTACCGAGGGAAGTTGAAGTTAGATAGCCTTTCTATTACAATCCTTAAAATCTCTATAATTATTATTAGGTTGGTCCATAAGTCTTGCAACAAACTGGCCGAATTTTGAATTTAATATTTTCATTATTATCTTTTTGTTCCATTCATCCGGCATGCTACCCTCCATCAATATCTACAACCTATTGCCAACACACTAGTAGCTGCTCGATGCCTCCCTTGTAGGACTCTACTGAATTCTGATATAAGGGCTATAACGTGATACGGAAGAACTCCCCGTCCTAGAGTCTCAAAATTTTCCTGAATTTTCTTAGCAAGAGGTGGTTCAACGGTGTCATACAAAAGCAAACTTTGCCTTGTTTTTCTTTCGTATTAAAAGCGTTGCATTCGAGCTGTGGATAGTTGACTTTCGCGTTGACTGCGACATCTACACGTAGGGGTTTCCAGAGCTTAACTCCTCCCGTGTTCCACCAAAAATCCGAGAAGGCCCTACTTGGACGAGGTTGAACTTAAGCAATAAGATCTCCCGAAGCGTTTGAGCTGGACTACCGCCGCTTGTTCATTTGTTAGTAAACTGTACCCACTCCTCATCTTCGGCAAATGTGATGGATGGTCAATCGTAGAATCCCTAGTAAGTCGACTTGAACATAACGGTGTCAGATCGTGTTTGGAGCTGAATCGGGCTCAAGGCACGTGGGGACCAAACTCTACATTTTCGGATCTTCACAAGTCTTTGGAGATGCCACAGTGCTGTCTCCTTGTCGCATCGGAATCGCTCTAGCAAATGATCGATACTCTATCCAGATCCCTTTTCAACGCCGTCAGATATAGCATCGTGATTGTCAGTCACAGGGTGGTTGGAGTGTGGGTTATTTTCAAATAAAAAAGTCAACGCTGAGCAGAGTGAAGCGCCGTTGCACTGTGGTTTGAGAGAGCTGCCCTCTCGCCTATCTTCTGGCCAATCCTTGGTCTAGCATGACTTGCGGAACATTCCAAGCAGTACTCGTAAAAATTAAGGGCATCGAGAGCCCTCTCGCGAAATCGGTGTAATATCCATAATAAGTAAGCAGACAACGAGCTGGACCGTTGGCTGAAATTGCAAAGGTTGATGCTACGTCAGGAAATATGTTGCGGATTTTCAGGAGTTCTCCCTAAAATTCTATAGCATTAAATGTAGTTTGTTGCAAGACTTATGGACCGACCCAATATAACAGGAGATAGCACTTCGACGCAACATCCATCCTGAGCATAACAATTTCATGACCAGAAATGAAGTGAAGATTGTCGTATAGAAATGCTGTCTTCGGCAGAAAGGAATAGATCAATGCCATTTTTCTATCTGATTGGTCGTCGATCATATTTCCCAGAGCGAAAGTGCCTCAAACAACTCAACAAATTTAGCTATACTCAAGTTCATGGCTGATTTAGTTCTTCAATCCCCAACTAGTTGAAACGCTCAAAGGAAACCAAAAAATAACACTGCGTAATCAACAACGCTCCGAAGAGTCTTTTCCGCAGCCATGCCCTCATCCCAGCGTCATTACTCTTGAGAGCAGATATGCAGAAAGCTTTCTGTTTCGAGCTCAATGAAAAAAGGAATGAGAGTGAGAGCGATGAGTACAAGTCCTCCTGATACACTGAAAAACGTGAAAATAACCGAATTAAAAGGATTGCTTACATTGCAAGAAAACTTCTGTGCAACATTTCAAGTCGAAATTCTACAAACAAAAACAAGTCAAAATTCTGTGCAATATGTTCTGCGACTTCTCATGATGAGTATATATATGTATATATATATATATATATTTGTTCACCATTCGTAGTGTAGATAGACTTTCGCAGCATAGACAATGAAATTGCAGCTGGAGATGTAGGAACACGAGCCTAACAACGAATCACATGGTACAGACCAAAAACACGCCACTACGAGCGACTAGATGACTGACACTAATTATTATCAGATAATCATATACTCACTTTGGACACTTCGAATTCGGCATGAGCGTGCTGCTGTTGCGCTTGTTCATTAAAAATCGCCCAGATCGGTGAAATCCTCCACATCCCCTTCACACTGAAAAGAGAACTCAGAGAGAAGAAGAAAACATCAAGCAGATTCGCTCACTCATGTGAATTAAATCTAGGATCGGTTGGACGAATATACGACTACACTATGGAACAGACTCTGAGATGAGTAGCGGTTCAGCAGTCTTAGTCGCCACTGGAGTACCTGACGAGAATTCACCACGAGCGGTCTGTTTCCACATATATGAGTTCCCGTCATAATGCGATGACTTTTTAGAGAGCGCGCGAAGGAGTAACTGGTTACCTCGAACACAAAAATTTCAGGAAGCCTTTGGATCGAACTTGGGTGGCATTGCTTCGCTTATCGTTGGATCCTGTACGAGAGGTGGTTTGTTAAGTTCAGTTTGCATTTCCAAACACCCAATATTAAGCAAAATCGTTCTCGTATTTCTAGTGCTACACCAGTGATGCATCAATAACGCATTTCCAAAGTATCCAGGTGGCTGAAATGCATTTTGGTGTGATATCGTTGCAGGATAAGACAACTGCACTAACAGTTATAAACGAAATGTCACGTGAAATGCTGCTTTGCGGGTCTTCTGCTGGTATTGTAAGGGTACGTTGAAGCCTTTTCATTTCTTGCAAGGGAAGGTCGATTGGTCAGTAATGTCATTGCAAATCAACAATGCCAGATCGAATTGGCGGGAATAAAAAGCGACGGTAGATCATGAATTTGTAGTTGTTGATTGACTGCTAACAGAAAAGCTCGAAGAAAAGCGCCAACGAAGCCCTTAAACAGGGCTCGTCTTTGGAATGAGGGAAGACGGGCGGACGCGAGGTGTCCGAATTAGCTTGCTTCGCTGGCTATTGCTGATTATGCGTGCCTGCAAGAAATGCGGCTGCAATCACATCTGCACCGATTCAAACAGAGACACCAATGCATCAGTACAAGCAAAGCAATACAATAATTGGAATGAGTTAAGCAAGTAAAACGAATTACAAAGAGGCAGCACTGATCTCGAAATGCGGGCTAGTTTCAAGCATTCGCACAAGGAACCACATACATTCTCTTGTTGGTTTCTTCGTCATTTCCTTATATACAATCTGTACCTGATTGAAATCTTGAACCTCTGCTCCCTTCTACACGTAATGACTCAATAAGAGCTTGCTTTCTCAGTCAGTCTGTCTTCGCCAAATCCAAAATTAATCCTAAAACTCTATGCACTTTTACTTTTCCTTGTAGGTCCTTTTTTCTGGGCCTACAAGGAAAAGTAAAAGGATTCCTTACTTCTTTTCCCCCATATGCTAT